TTTTAATTTAAATAATTCCGTGTCCAAACACAGTTCAACGAATGATTCGCAAAGCTAATTTAATAAATAATAACCGTGTTAAAGGACGAAAGGGATATATGTTTGTTAGAGAAATATGAAGAATATTATCAATAACTTTGACATATCTCAAAAATTGACATAACCTTGACATGACCTTCACATAACCTTGACATATCAAGGTTATATCAAGGTTATGTCAAGGTCATGTCAAGGTTATGTGAAGGTTATGTCAAGGTCAATAATTCCGTGTCCGAGCACAGTTCAACGAATGATTCGCAAAGCTAATTTAATAAATAATAATCGTGTTAAAGGACGTACGGGATATGTTTGTTAGAGAAATATGAAGGTTAATATCAAGGTTATGTTCAAGGTCATGTTCAAGGTTATGTCAAGGTTATTGATAATATTCTTCATATTTCTCTACCAAACATATCGCTTACGTCCTTTAACACGATTATTATTTATTAAATTAGCTTTGCGACTCATTCGTTGAACTGTGGTTCGGACACGGAATTATTTACGTACTTTGTTAATCTTCACTGTACACCTTGCTTAAAAATTTCATATGTTACACACAAGGTCATGTGTCATGCACACTAGAAAATTAAAACGGCCGTCACGATTAAATTACTTACTATTTCGGGTCCGAAAAATTAGTAAATGTTCTTCAGACGTTCTAAAGTAAAGATGAACAGCGTTTTTCTTAAAAATATCACTGTTACGTAGTAAAAAAAGAATCCGGAAAGTTCTCGCTTCGTGATTTGTTCAATACTTCGAACGCGGCTCGAGTCCGTCCCGACCATCTGTCGAAGCCTCGTGCTGCGGGCTCTCGAACTTCGCGCCGTCACCTCTCATTGGTCAGTGTTTTTCGTTAATAACTCGTAAACAAAGCTGCAGATTGCATTTTCGCAAAGGAAAAAGTTACTTCAAATGACCTCAGCTACCCCTCATTTTCGGCTGTTAAAATAATTGTGGAACACCCTGTATATGTATATTTTCAAAATGACCACGGACCTTGTATTATCTCCGGTTCGAGTTTACGACGCGAACTTGCACAAATTTGTCGAATGCAAATGCTTCGATACATCCATTTTGTATTTTATAAAATCGTAATTTTGTATTTAATTACGGCTATTGAACAATGTTATTTCTCAGCGTAATAGTTTAGGTGATTTAAGCATCTTGCGAGCCAATTAACGATAATTCTATTTTGATTAAATACACGATTAAATTGTAACTATCATATGTATAGGGTGGTTCGGTAGGAATTAACCGTTGATGGAAGGAATTTCAATTTCAATTTCAGATGATGAAGTTTAAATAAATAAAATATAGAAAATGTTGAACACCTAAGCAGAAAATTATTAATACAAAATTACACCATAAGTAAAATATTGTATTCACTGCAGCATAAAATTGTGTGAATTCTTTTCACTTTTGTTTACTGTGAGCTATAAGACTTCTCATGTTCTGCCATTTTAGAAAACAATATAAGATACTTCTACTTTTCTGTAACGAGCACGTTACGTTTTTCACATTATATCTTTTCTCTATTCCAAAATAAAGTGTTAATTAATTTCTGACTTGTACAATAATTTCATGTATTTCATGGTACACTTTACTTTCTTTACTGATTGAAAAATTTTCTACAAAATTCCGATACGTACAGTAAATATTTTTACCAGTGTACTGTTATTAAAGATATTATTATAACTTAAATTTATATGATTTATCTTTATACTAAAAATAAGTTTTTCATTCTCCGTATAAAAATTTTCTAGAATTTTATATTACTTAAAAAACGTTTAATAAAAGTCCTTCCTACTGTAAATATAATTCTGAATTAAAATTTTTAATAGGTGTATTTCTTCTATTTTGGTAATAATAATGTTAGATTAAAATTTCATTGGTTACTTTGGTAAAAATAGTGTTAAATTAAAATTTTAAAACGTGACTTTTCTCTATCTAGATCGAAATATTATTGGATTAAAATTTTTAAATGTGTCTATTGACTACATTGATAGAAATAGCGTTGTTTAGATATAATGTTATATGAAAATTTTTAAAAATATCTTTTGACCACTTCGGTACAAAATAGTGTTCGATTAAAATTTCGAAAGATGTGCTCCGACCGTTTTGGTAAAAGGAATGTTCGATTACAATTTTCAACTCTTTAAAAGGTGTCTTTTATAACTACATCGATGAGAATAATATCAAATAAAAATTTCAAATCCCGTCTGTCGATTGCTTCGGCGGGAAACGGTAGTCAATTAAAATTTCAAACGGTGACTTTCGCCCTCCCCTCGATGAAAATAGCGTTATTGTAGCAGGTCCCAGAAAAGTAGGATGAAGTTTCTCGATTAGCCCGGACCACCGTGCAGTGATCAATGGGTTTC